CCCCGCATCTGCCACTTCTGGTGGTACAAGAGGTTCTGTTGGCTGAGGAGCAGAGTATGGATGATTTTGCCCAGCTTTTCTTTTGTATTTTAGCAAATAGTTTTTTAAAAAGATCTATTATGAAAATTTTCACTTGAGTGTGTGCATTTGAAAATGCTGCTATGATTGGCAAAGATGGCATAGAACGAAGACCTTTTTAAATTCAGGTTCTTCTTATTTTAGGTAGCAGTGATGGTTCTGAACTCAGCGAAGAGACTTCATGGCCAGCATTTGAAAGGTAAGAAAAACTATTCTGTGTCTTGGTCAAACAGGAAGAAAGAGCACTTCACACATGATAGTTCTCCTACCTGGCAACTATTTCCGTGTAGGAGACATTCACAATGTGTACACTACAACCTATCCAAGTCTGTTGGTGCAAATAGGTGGTGATTTTGTGTGTCAGTTAGGTGGAGATGAGATCTGTGTAGGAAATAGCATTTGTGAAGCAGTTGTGATCATTTCATGCAGTAGTGTCTAGAAGAGCTGTAATTACAGGCCCACAGCCCTCAGTTCTACAATCTGGATAGCATACTGCTTTGAGAGAGAGTCCATTGTACATAAAAGTGACACATGAATGACTGATTGGGCTAAACACTGCCAGGTGGGAAATTGTTCAAGGTGGTATCCAGAGCTTAGGAGAGCCTCCTCACAATCTTTCCTAGCCAGAGCTCTAGAGTGCGGGTGTCAAACATATGGCCTGCAGGCTGGAACCAGCTCATTGAGGATTCGTATCCGGCCCATGAGCAACTGGCTGTCCCCTGCTTCCTTCCCTGAGGCTGCTGCTGCCACTGTATCACAGCTCACTTTCGGCTGTCTCCCTCAATCGCGCAGGGAGAGGTACAAAGCCAAGCCTCTTTCCTTCCATTGGTTGAGGTCTCCTCCCCCCTCCTGAGATGGGAAGGAGGGAGAAGGAAGGGAGGAGGAGGGAAAGTAAGAGAGAGAACAGAGTTTCAGTCCAGTGGCACCTTTAAGACTAACACAGTTTTATTCAAGGTATAAGCTTTTGTGTGCACACACACTTCTTCAGAGAGAGGGAGGGTGAGAGCAGGGATTCCTCTGACAAGCACAGTTTCCATTGAGATCACCCTGCTCTGCTGTTTACTGTGAGACCTGATCTCACACACACAGACATGCACACACACACACACACGTTAAAAGAAAGGAATGGGATGTGGGAAAGAGATGCTTTGGAATAAGGAAGAAAGGGGGATTAAAAGGAAATTATTTGGGGCTTATTCTGAAAAGGGTTTTTTTAATATTAGATTTCTCTGTGCCTATCTGGGATTAGGACCCTGATTAGGAATTACAATACTTGGATTGGATTCTGTTGTTTAAGGACTGAAAGTAAATGGCTAAGTATTTAAAAATACATTTATGGTTCTATATGTTCCAGTTCAACATCTTCTGTTCCCTCCCACCTCACTAGCTGCCTTTCTTCACATTAACCCCCTCCACCCCCCACCCCGGTTTTTTTACTGTTTCATTATCATCACTAGCACCGAGTGGATTTTGTCTGTTCTGAAATCAACACATTATTTCACTTGGAGAGATCCTCCTCTCCAGTTCTAGCAGCACAGCGGGGGGGGGGGGCCTAGCAGCACAGCTTGCAATCTTTGTTGGTGAAAAGGAGCAAGAGTTCAGTAGAGTTCACTACTCACTGCTGTATCTCACTTCAGATACAGAGTTCATCTGTCCTTATACCTTGGAGACTGGAATGGTTTGAGATGCCAGTAATAATAGCACACGTTGGTAATGGGACAGGAAACCTAGGTCTCAATTCAGTCCAGGAGGATGCATTGTCTTGAGCTTCATTATCAGTTGTAATTCAGCAGCCTCTCTTTCTAATCTCTATGTGAAATCCCTTTGTAAGAGAAAGCTGGATTCATGATTCAAATATGAGCAATGAGGAGGAAAGCAGCAAATCATCATGGACAGGCAAGGCTACATATCTTTGGAAACACCTTAGGGCAGCTACTATTTTGGGGGATGACTCTAGAGCAGAGGTGTCGAACCCATTTGTTACAAGGACTGGATCTGACATAAATGTCATTTTGTCGGGCCAGGCCATGTGTGCCATAATGTGTAATGCCAGGTAAGGGAGATATAAGCTTTATAAAAGTGATTTCAGATGTCAAAAGGCAATAGCAGGTGAATGACAATAGCAGGCTTGATTGGATTAGGTGTGATATGCAGAGGGGCAGTAGGCGTGGAGATATCAGCATTGGTAATGTGACAGGAAACCTAGGTCTCAGTTTGGTCCAGGAGGATTCAGTCCAGAAGGATGCAAAAATAAATGGACATAAGTCTTGACATTAGAAACCACAAAATTCAAAAACCAGTGGGGGAACATTTTAATCATCCAGGACATTCAGTTGCTGACCTAAGAGTAGCAGTTTTATGGGAGACAGTTCTTTGTAGGTAGTTACCATAGGTTTCTATGGTGCCTTGCACAATAGTTACAAGTTGGAGATTTAAGATTCACCACCACCACCCCGCAATCCCCCATTATTCTTCAGCTTCCTCCAGAACAACCAAAGCATATTGCTGAATCAACATAAGAGGGGCCATGTGTTTTCCGGGGTTTGTTTTTGTTTTATTTTAATGCTGTATCAAACATTGCCTCCCAAATTGGTGCTTAAGTCATTAGAAACCACTACAGATATCAATTACAATATCTTAAAAGTTGTTAAGGACAAAGCCAGTGGCAGCATATCCTGAGGTGGGACAGCTTCTGAGCCCGGTAGGCTTCTCACCTCCCCTTCATATGTGGCCCTAGATTAGATTGGCTAATTGGAATTGTAAGCCGCTCAGAGCCCCTAGGGGGTGAGCGGGATAGATGTTGAAGGATAAATAAATAAATTTGGGGCCCATTTGCCACTGGCTCCCTGCCCATGCACTTCCTTTGCCACTTGTCTGTTTGCCCTTCCTGCACCCACTCGTTTGCAAGCACTGCCACCAAAGCTCCTAGCTGCAGGCCAGGAGGGATAGCTGTGTGTGCAGCTGGTGGGAGGATGCCCAGGAATATGGGGGGCATGCAGGGGGCTTGGCACTCTCTGCCCAAGGCCTCCCCAAAACCTGGGCAGTCCTGGCTAAGGAAGGTTCTTGTGTTAGGGTCACAGTCAAGCATGATGGATGGATGTTTGGCTGCTGCCTCTTCTCTTGCAGGCCTCCAAGACTGCATGCATGCCCTGAACATCTTCTGAGCCCCTACTGAGTCTCCAGTACTTGTTCATAAAGATTGTTATGTCTTTAGAGAGCCTCATGTGTCATTGGATGGGTTGTAAAATTGTTCTTGTTTGGAGCAGCTTTGGTCTCTGTAGGGTCTGAGTTTGAACATAGCTATTAGTACATGCTTTGTTCAACACCACTTGTACAGAGGCAACTCAGCGGGAGAAGCCAGGGGCATCTGGTTTTCTCCATTACTAGCAAGGAAGGGCAAATGACTCAAACAACAACTTCTTGAGCAGTTTTCTGTTGGCAGGAGGAAAGAGCTGTAAACCCACTGTTACAGAGAACAGTGCATTTACAATGGTTTAATAAATGAATTTTGGTGGCTCCCCCCAGATGCTGGCCAGCTGGCCTGCAGGGGGAAGCCCCACCCCCAACAATCATCCATGGCCCTGCTTGAAAAAAGCAGGCACCGTGCGTGCCTTCCCTGCAAGCGGCAAATTCACAGCTTACAAAGCAGGCACCTGCAGCGCTTGCTTTCCCTCCAGCCATTTAAAGGGAAGGTCACTCTGCATGATGTCATCGTGTTGGGGATGCCCCCCCGAACACCCCCCAAATCCCCCTACCGAGAAGAAGATGGGACCTGGCAACCCTAGTGGGATCCCTAACTGGCTGCAATCACATGATGAAGAAGCCATTTCAAGTTTTGTTTGAAGTGCCAAAGCAGCTGCAAATAGTGAAAAGCATATTTGTCTTCATGGGCCCCCCATGCATTTAGATCCTACATTTTTTTTTAATCGATGCAGCTGCATCACTAGTATTCATTCGTAGTTAAGAAATGGCCGATGTAGCACCTTACTGGTTTCCTCTAGGAGAAGATAATAATAGTGTAATTAATTGTGCCCCAGGGGGGAACTGGAAGGAGTGGGGAGGCAATTAAGAGAGGGGATTTGGGAGGAAATCAGTGTGGAAGGCAAATGGAGCTCTTAGAAGTGGAAATAGACCTAGTATCTAAAATTTCCTGTTGGGTTATTCCTTTGAATAAAGAAGGATCCATGGGATGTTCATAAATTACACTTTGTTCACAAAACAGACTCTGCTGGATGTTTATTTGCTCTTCCGTTTTCTCATGAATAAAATATATTAAACTATTAACCCTCTGATCTGCGTTGTATTGGATTCTCATTGCCAGAGCCAGTTCAGTTCCTTTAACTGGAGTGTTCCACTGAAAAAGGAGCATGTGTCGTTAAGCAGTGGCTTTTAAAAACAAGTACACAGGCATTCCTTTTGTTGTTGTTGTTGCTGCTATATTCTGTATTGCCTTTATTTACCCCTCCCTGGCTTTGTCTGGGTCCAGCTAAGGGCGTGAGATTGTCTCTCTGTGGGTAACGCGGTTCTTTATTCCTGAATAATGCTTCATCAGGTAGGATTAAGTTGAATGAAGAGATCAGGGTTTCCAAACTCCAGATGGGACCTGTATATCCCCTGGAATAACAAGTTATGTCCAGATTACAGAAATCAGTTCCTCGGGAGAAAATGACTGCTTTGGAGGGTGAGCTGTGTATGTCCTTATGCCCTGCTGAGGTCCCTCCTCTCTCTAGCTCCCCCCCCACCCCGTATCCACTCCCAGATCTCCAAGAATTTCTCATCCTGGAGTTGGCAACCCTGTCTCAAGTGCACTAGTTGTGATAAATCAGCGTTGCTAATAAACAGGCCATGTCAGTTGCTTCTGGCGCATCATGTTTGTATAACAGTGAGAAAGTAAGAGCATTGCAATGTAAGCTTCTTCAGTGGGTAATGGAAAAATTATGGTTTTGTTCCTTTGATTCATGCACAGTGTTATAATACAGACTAATTAAAGGTACAACTTAACCCCTTTTATCCAAAACCAAGACTGTCTCAAAATTACACAGGACTCTAGTAGTACGTTAAAGACTAGCAGATTTTATTCTGGTATAAGCCTTTGTCAGTCAAAGCTGCATCAAGTTATACAACCATTGGGCCAAAGTTTTATAGACTGTGGGTGGGTGGGGTTATTTATGTAGTTATTTAGAAAAATTCTGCACTTCC